TGATCAGAGAATATGCTTGGTATGATTTCAATCTTCTTACATTTGCTGAGTCTAGTTTTATGTCCCAATATATGTTCTATCCTTGAGAATGTTCTATGTACACTAGAAAAGAATGTGTAGGCCTCTTTTATTGCTACACCTGTCTCTGAATCATAAGATTGCAAAAGTACTTTTCTTTAAGACTCTTAAAAGATTACTCAGAATCTTTTAATATTTGAATTAAATAACCAGAAAATCCATATTTCTAAACAAACATATGCTTTATAGGCTTATAGCAATATCCCACTGCTTAGTAGGATTTGTGCTGTCATTATTGGCCAATCACAACACCTTTTTTTTCTAGAATGATCATAACCTTTTAGTTTAGCCCTTGGACATGTCCCACAACACTTGCATCATTTAGCTCACACAGGCTGAGAAAGACAGCATCATGCCTAATTAAGTTTTTATACCTAGAGAGGTACATTCAACGGGTAGCTCTCTCCAGGATGGCAGTAGCTACAACTTGCATCTATTCAAAACATGCATTGTTTCCATGAGACCTCACAATAAGAACATTCCTTGAAACTCTAAGCTATGAGCTGCTGTCTGTTTCTGTGGCCACATGGGTCTGATGCCCAACATTTGAATGTGGCCTTGTGTCAGGTGAGCATCTGAGTGACTGGTTTCTCTTTCTCTCAAGTGTTGAGGGTCACTGTGCAGACAGCCCTCAGGATGGGCTCAGTGAGGACAGAGACACTGAAAATGGCGGCTCACATGCCCCTCTCCACACTTGTTGGAAGTACCCACGACCCTCACCACAGACCCCAGACTTTATGGATGCACAGAACCCTGGAGTTGGAAAAAACCCTGGTGATGTGGTTCTGGGATTTTCTATCTCTTCCTCTCAGAGGCCTCAGCCTTCGTCAAAATGCCTCAAGGGGACACAGCAGCAGAAAATACAGGGGGAAGCTGAGCAGGTGGGGAGCTGCCAACTCAGCCCCAGCTTCACACAAAGCAGCAATTCTTTTCACTCCTGTAAACAGCCAGGTGCTTCATTTCATTTTGTTTGGAAAGGGGGTTCCAATGTTAAAAAGAGATTTGGATGCACCTACTCTGCTATGTTCTCTTCATTTGGCAGATGAGAAAATTGAAGCCCAGAGAAGTAAGTAACCTTTACTGGGCATGTTAAAATACACTCAGTTGGTGGAACTGAAATCAGTGTGGCTCTCATTCTCTCAAGTGTCAACAGAGCTGTCTTGTCTGGGACAGGCCTTATGGCTGGTGACCTCCATGCCCTGCTCCCATCTTAGCAGTCACAGAGAATAGGGCCTTGTCAGCCCAGCTCCATGTAGGTTCTGAATGAATCTTTATTGATGACCACTGCATGGAATATTTTTCCACTTCCATTTGGCTGCTTAGCCAAGAAACTGCAGGTACATAGGCACTTGGGATAAGTAAGGTCCTCTCTTTGTTAAGTAGGTCTTTTATTTATTTTGTCGCTTCCTACCTCTTCACTGACCTTTGAATGTCTCTTTATGTGATTTTCGAGTGTCTAAACAGGAAAACCATCTGTTGTGGTTCCTGGAGAAAAAGCCTAATGAGTAAGGCTATTTTCCCTAAAGTGATTCTGTACCAGAGAAAAGACAATTGTGTATAAAATGGTGTTCAAAGGTGATATGAGATAGGAGGGAAGAGTAGAGTTCTGAAGCCAGATTCCCTGAGCTCAAATCGTGTCCTTGCTCCTGTGACATTGGGCAACTTATTTTAACTTCCCTATGTCTTAGTTTCCTCATTTCTAAGTGGGAATAATAATTGTACCTACATCACAGGTGCTAAGGCATCATAGGGTTGTTAAATACATACAAAAGTACTTAGAATAGTGTCTGATGTATAGTAGGGGCTCTGTAAGTCTTAGCTATTATTTTATCATCATTATTATTATTATTACTGTTATTATTATTTTATTATTAGTAATTAGGGCATTAGTTTTAGGTCCCTTAGACAGTCTCAGTCAGATTATCTAGTAGAACGTGGGGCTATAGTTAAGATGGTTATGCTCCAAAAGGGAGACAGGGATTTCTTGGGGACCTACAGAGAGCCCTAGAATTCAGCCTGGAACATAACTCAAGACTTGGAAAGATCTAACGTAGCCTGGGGACTGGGTTGTGTTGCTGCCTCTGCAGCATCTTACATTTGCTCATTTGTCTCCTGGTCTTTGCCCATTAAAATGACTCGGCCATTTTCTCCATATCTGATTATCATTTGTGAGTCTCATTTCTCAGCTGGCTTCATCCTTTCCCATATTTGTCAGTTTAAATCCTCAAGACAGAGAGAGATAGCTTTATTGGTCCTGATGAATAGTTATTGACTAGCTCTAGGGCATGCCATGGCTCTCTATTCTGTTCATGCATTAATGGACCCTGGGTCAGGGGCTTATTCTAGTCTGATTACCTGAAGGGCAAGCTCAAATGCTAGAACAGGGGTTACCTAAGCAAAGGACTATGGGGGGGGGAGTTCCTTTTATAATGAGAGTATGATAGAAGTATAGAGGAGACTGAGATCCAGTCTTTTCTTTATTCAAGGGTGTAGATATAGTCAGTGTCCACATGGGCAAATCTACTGCAATATGCTGAACTCTTAACCATTAGGGTTCTGTAAGTGTGGAAGCTGCTGAACTTGACAACTAAACTTGAACTAGTCCAAAAAGAGGAATTTACTGAAGGATCCCAATGTGACTTAAGGAAGCAGTACAATTACTGTGGCCGTCCCTCAGTACAATGGGGAGTAGGGCATGGAACTCGGTAGGGCTCTTTCTTAGTCTTTTGCTGTAGATTCTCTTTGAATAACTGCTTCACTCTTGTCTTCCTATTGACTTCACTACCTTGGTCAACCTGGACTCCTATTCTGAATCTCTTATAAGTGTTCATCTTCATAATGCCTGAGGAAATATCTTTATTAAACTTAACATGAGTCAAGTTCTTATTTCTGAACTAATCACCTGCAGGCTGGGTGGTGAGCCATTTTAATGGTTGTTTCCATATGGAGGGGCATGGAGGATCAATTTCTTATAATATCAAGGTTGGATAAATTGGTTCATTGGGCACACCAAAATATATTCAATTAAAAACATATCCTTTGGGGCCGGCCGAGTGGCACGATGGTTAAGAACTGGCTTGGGATGCCAGAGGGCCCCGGTTCGGATCCCACATATGAGGGCCAGTGACACTGCCCTCCACAGCTAAGATGCTGAACAACAGCTCAACCTGGAGCTGGGCTGCCGAGAGTTGCTGGCGATGGCATAGACTGCAGCCCCTGTGGCAGTGGGTTGCCATGGGTTACCATATGTAGCCAGCAGCCAGCGTGAGCAGCCAGCAGCCATAGTGAGTGGCCGTCCAGAAGATGGAGACCGATCTGCCTCACCCGGGAAGAGCACAATGACGGTGCCAACTTGGGCCAGTGAAGCAACGTCTTCCACAACTAAACTGAAGAACAAAACAACAGCAACTTGTCTGTTCCCCTTCCCCCAATTCCCCAGCGCTGTTCCCACCCCCCCAATTCCCCAATAAAAAATCTTTTAAAAAAACACATCCTTTGGTTATGCTTGACTATGTGGGATACAGATAAATGTATTCCTCTCCCCAGGTAAACATTGAAGTTTATTTTATTTCTTAGGTGAAAAAGATTGAGTTATTCATCTTCCTCAGTTCATTGTCTTTCATTGTCATTTGTTTGTGATCTATTTCATTTTTGTCAATGGCCATGGCATTGTGGCAAGACCCAGGGTTGATATTAGAAAGTGATGGAAAAGGGAGGGAAAGGACAATATATATTCAGCAACTGACTTGTGCTAGGAGATTTCTTATTCATCACCTTGTTTAACTTTTACAGTATACTCTTGAATTAGGTTTTGTTACCTTTGTTTTAGACTGGAGGAAATTTAGGATGTGAGAAATCAAACCATTTACCCTAGCTGTCACAGTGAATTAGTGGGAGAATCAAGATTCAGACACAAGACTCCAGATGTGGGGATGAATTCAGCAGTGAAGAAAACTCTCTCTCCCTTGAAGGGATTCACAGTCTGGTCCAGGAGTTATAATTACTTTTCCCCCTCACCAAGTACATTGCCAGAGAAGATAATATGCGGTTCAATCTTCTCTTTCTGTCTTTCCTGTTCCTGGATATGGGATGCTTGGTAAGAGAGAACTGTTCATGAGCAGGCAGTAGGGTTGAGCAAGAGAAACAATGCACCATAACCTTCAGGAACTAGGGAGTGGGCACTTGAGGACAAATACCCAAAGGCTTAGTTAATCTTAAAGAGATCTGAGTGGCATGAAAGCAGGAACAACAAAACCAGTGAGTGATCAAGTAGAAAGACAATTTGCAAATTTGCAAATTTGGAATTTGCAAATTCCATTGTTCTGGCATGAGCAAAAAGGAAGACATTTCAAGGGGCTGGCCCAAGTCCCTAATAGTGGAGAAGAAAGCTTGTTTCTCAAACAACCCCTTCTCTTGCCCATTTAGAGACTGTTTTGTTTTATACAATACTCCTGTTTACTGAGGTAATCAGCCACTCACTTATTAAAAGAAAAATAAAAGACCACTTAGCCTTATTTACAGGGGTCCCTCGATATAGTCTTAGACACAAAGTAAAAGGTAGCAGCCATTGGAGCAAAAATAAGAGAGAAAAAAATGGGACGCCCAAGTATGGTTACAAAGAGTAATGGGGTAGGATGAAATAAACTGAAGGTACGTCTGATTCTGTTATGATGTCATAGTGTAGCATGAGACTTCTGAGGTCTTGGAATGGATGGGAGGTGGGGGAGGGGGAGAAGAAGCAAGTACCACAGCATTCCTGGAAACAAATTTTACTGCCTTTGCAGTTTTCCTTGTGTGCCTGGTGGCACCTGTCTACCTTCCCTCTGGTCATGGGCACAGGTTGCAGATAGTGCTGGTGTCTGTTACATTATATTGATCTGGGAAGAAAAATGGACCAAAAGGAGAGGCCTTCTCACTCACATCTATGTTTTCTGGGACACCTGGATTCTACCAGTGACCTTTTTGAAGGCCGCTTTCACATCCTTGTTTCTCAGGCTGTAGATCAGAGGGTTCAGCATGGGGATGACCACTGTGTAGAAGACAGACACGACCTTGTCTTCCTCTGGGGATTTGCCTGAGCCACTCCGCAGATACATGAAGACAAGGGTGCCAAAGTAAAGGGCTACAGCAGTGAGGTGGGAGGCACATGTGGAGAAAGTCTTGGTCCTGCCACCTGAAGACTTCACCCTCAAAATAGCCTTGATGATGAGCACGTAGGAAATCAAGATGACTAAGGCATTGGCCAAAAGCACATTGCCAAAGAAGAAAATGACAGTCTCAGTGTTTGTTGTGTCACTGCAGGCAAGCTTCAGCAGGGGCGGGAGGTCACAGAAGAAGAAGTTGATCTGATTCTTGTCACAGAAGGAGAGGGTGAAGGTGCATGTGGTACGCAGGATGGCCCCTGACACCCCACAGACATAGGCTCCCACCACTAGCCTCCAGCAGATTCTGGGATTCATGGCCACAGTGTAGAGCAGTGGGTTGCTAATAGCAACGTAGCGGTCGTAGGCCATCACTGCCAGCAGGAAACACTCTGTACCTGCACAGATGGTGAAGAAGAAGAACTGGGCAGCACATTGGCCAAAGGAGATGACCATCTGGCCTGCGGTCAGTGTGGCCAGGATCTGAGGGGTGATGACTGAGGTGTAGCAGGCATCTAGTAGGGAGAGGTGGCTCAGGAAGAAATACATTGGTGTGTGGAGTTGGACATCCAGTTGGATCAGAATGATCATCCCCACATTCCCCAGAAGGGTGACTAGGTAGAAATTCAGAAACACCAGAAAGAGGAGCATCTCCAGCCTGGGGGAGTCAGTAAATCCCATGAGAATAAACTCAGTCACTGTGGTGAGATTAATCCTGGCCATGGATTCAGTGTGGACTTTTGATGAGAATGAAACAAAAATAAGTCCCAGAATTGAAGGACAGCTGCTTTCTCTCTCTGGGAGCAGTTAGGCTTATATTTCTGGACCAAATTACAGAGTTTGTTTTTGAGGAATCCTGTACCTGGCTGATTCTTCTTGGGCACCTATGTTTTTCTCCTATAGTTTTTGGAGCTGAGCCATGAGTTGGTGTTTCTGATTCAGATGAATTCTGGTTTATATTTGGAAGTTTCTGTGAAGAAAAGAGACACATAGACTCTAAGATTTGGAAAGAGTCTAATCAGCATCTGTTCTGATCCCCACCGGATGCTGGAGTCTCCTCTACTGCATACTCTCCAGGCGGTCATCCGCTTGTTGTGTGAGTCTCCGTCTGTGGTCAGCTCTACCTGCTAATTCTTTTTTTGAACCTGGACTCTCTATCTTCCACACATTGGCTTAGTTTTACCCCTTCCAGACACTCAGAGTTAATCCCTTGTCATGAAAACCTTTAGAAGTTGGAAGATAGTGAATCTGCTCTTTATGTTGAAAATTTCTTCATATTACCTATTGATATATTTTCCTAGTTACATAATTATTCTTTATGAGGTCAAAATTGGATTAGTCACATTATACTAAAATATGTTGTTTGAAGGTACAAACTTACAAATAGCAGATGTAAGTTCTTTAATCGAATGCACAGTGTAGTGATTATAAACAACAATACTATATTATAAACTTCAAAGTTACTAAGAGAAGACTAGTTCTTAATTGTTCTCACCACAAAGAAGACATGATAATTATGGGACATGATAAAAGTGTTAGCTTATGCTATGGTGGTAATCATGTTGTAATATATAAACGTATCGAACCAACATTTTGTCCACCTTAAACTTACACAATATTATTGGCAATTGTATCTCATTAATAAAAAGATACCTAAAACTCTTTCCATTTTAATATGTACTGCTTAAATCTTGGGTTGGGGGCTTCTTCCAACTCTAATCAGGGTCACTTGTGGGAGGGAGTCACTGACATATGTGTATCATATAAAACACGGCCTCCTTGGGCTGTTCCCTCCACCCAACTCCAGCAGCATGGTCTGGATGACCTTCAAGCAGTTTTTCTTTTCTTTTTCTTCTTTCTCCTTCTCCTTCTCCTGCTGTTCCCCACTGAGAAATTTTAATTTCTGGGAGGTGAATTTGTCCTAGGTCATCCTGTCCAATAAGTGGAAGATTTGACTTCTGTATATTAATACCTTGATGGAAAATTATGTGCTTTTTGCTATGAATTTGTTTTGCTGCTTCCCTACATTTTATTGTTTCTTTATGATTTATGGAATCAAAGAAATCTCCCTGCAGTTCTTTAGATAATCAGATCCTTCCTACTTTAAAATCATGAGTAATTGTCATAGCTATTTTCTGTCTATTTCATGACAAGATCCCAGGGTTCCTTCTGATTTAGGGACAAGATTGTTGAATGCATATGACCAGAGGTTAGGTGGCAGATCATTAGGTTACAGATACAGCCACACTGGGTTTATGCCACATGCATGCCAGACCTACCTCATGTATTAGCTCTAACCCTTCCAGCAGCCCTCCAAGTTGGGTATAGGCTTGACTATTTTAAGGATCACCAAAGTGGGGTTCACAGAGGTTAAGGAAATTGACCATTTGCCACACACTTAGGAAGAAATGGAATCAAAACTGGAATCTGGAAAATTCTGACTCCAACTTCTGTATTCTTTATGCCATAACATACTATCCTCTTAGAGAAAGAGAATTGCCCATTCTACAGACCCAAGTCTCCCCTTTGAAAATCATAGCAACTCGCTGGGAAAATTGGGCTGACACATGCAAAAAAATGAAAATGGGGGCTGGTTGCTGGTGCCAGAGTGCATGCTGCTCTGACTTGGTGAGGCCCACTGACCACAACCCATGGTGCATTGGGGGCCTGCCCCGCCCACCTAGAGCTGTGTTGCCAGGGGCACCCAGAGCCCCTGGTTCCTGGCCCCACCTCCGCAGGCCCTCCACAGAGGGGTTTTTTTTGCAGCAGCAGCAGCAGACAGCCCTCAGCAACCTGTGATGATTTTTGTTGGTGAGCACAGTTCCAGAGCACACAGCAGCTAATTGCGGGAAGCTCACTGCAAGCCTGAGAGGGAGGCTGATGCATGATGTGTTGGGCCCTTCCCTGCAACATAGCTGGTGCTGAGTCACCCAGAGACTATTGCTGAGCAAGTGGTCTGCAGATTAAAGCAGGCAGAGAGCCTTTTTTTTTAAATCTCTTTTTTCCTTTTTTTTTCTTCCCCCTTTTTTCTTTATTATTATTTTTTTCTTTTCTTTCTCTTTCATCTAATTGTTCCTTTTCCTTCTTTTCTTTTACCTGTTTTGTTTTTGTCATTGTTCCTCAGACTTGTTTATCTGCTGATTATCTGTGAATATTGCTTTGGTCACTATTTTTTGTCTTGATCTCCTGTTTTTGTGTTTGTGTTTGTGTCTCTTTTATATACTTTTGTTTCTCCTGTCTGATCATTGCTTATCAATCTTCTGTGGGAGTGTATTTGGTTTTGGTGTTGCTGGGTTGTCTTGCTTTGTTTTTGTTTTATGAAGTGAATGTAGACCTAGCACTGGTCCAGGAGCTGAGACTATACTGAATTTGTAGAAACCACTGACCACAGCCTTTATGCACCTGTAAAACCACCTCGCCCACTTACAGCTGCATTGCCAGGGGCAATCAGGGTGCCAGGATGACTGGCCTCCAACCCCACAAACTGTGGAAAAGGGTTTTTTTTTCAACAGAAGGTCGTCTGCAGAGCCCTGGGGTCATCTTCATGATGTTCAGTGACCACAAACCTGCACCACAGCCACTCAGGAACAGCTTTCATGAATCTGTGAGTGCGAGGTGGAGGCTGGCTGTAGTGCCCTTGGGACACTATACAAAGGGGTCACAGGCCAGGTATTGATTGGTGTAAGACCTGAATCTGCATTAATGTCTTAAAAACTAACAATCACGTTGCATAATTCACTTGAATTCCACGCTGCCAAGCTAGTACCACATCGCAGAGTCACCTTCAACACCCGGTCATGTAGCCAGACACACACTCCTAAAGAGCCTCTTGCAATAGGTTGGCCTTACCAGCATCTAACAGGTGACAACAGGCCTAGGGGGCCCTGGGAATTTCCCTAAACTGCCTCAGGACCAATATAGGGAGAAGCTAGCTTCAGTTCACACAGAGACCATTCCTATATGACCCCAGGTCCAGCACAGGCAGCAGACAACTGCATACAGCCTTGAGGTACCTACCAGGTAGCTACGGACCTATAACAGGCAGGTCTGAAACGACTCTGAGTGAAAGCCCCACCCAAAAGACACCCAGAGGCAGTGTTAGACAAAACCAGAGTACTACCTGGTTGAACCTACAAGTGGCACCCTCAAAGGACATTTTCCACAGGCACAAGAACCCACAGTGGCCAAGCCTCCTCTGAGAGGATTAACCTCCACACAGCATCTCATACACTGTGAATAGAGCTAATTCTCCCAGCTAATCAGTCTGAGGGTCAATCCCCCCCTCTGACAAGCCAAAAGCAATTAAAGAGCAACTTCAATAGCAACACCTCTGGAACACATGGGACAGGAGAATACAGAGACTGTGCAATCCAAATATAAAGGACACATACTACAAAAGTACCCAGCAACAACTGAGAGGCATAGGTGATCTATCTAATACATCAAAGCAATCACAGAACAACTGCCAGAAGGAAGAAACAAAGAAACATGTCCCAAGTAAAAAATCAGAAAAAACCTCTAGAAATGGAACTAGACGAAACAGAGGTATCCAACCTTTCAGAGACAGAGTTGAGAACACTGATGATAAGAATATTTAAGGAACTTAGGATGTAAAGAAGGATAGAGAAATCATAAAAAACAACCAGAGCTAAAGAATACAACAACTGAAATGAAGAACACACTTAAAGGAATCACCAGTAGATTGGATGAAGCAGAGGCTCAGATCAGCGATTTTGAAGACAAAATAGCAGAAATTACCCAGTTGGAACAACAAAAAGAAAAAGGAATAAAAACAATGAAAATAGTTTAAGAGACCTGTGGGACAACATCAAGTGCAACAACATTCGCATCATAAGAATACCAGAAGGAAAAGAGAAGAAGCAAGAAATCGAGAAGATATTGGAAGAAATAATGACTGAAGACTTCCCTACCTGGGTGAAGGAAATCAACATACAAGCCCAGGAAGTGCAGAGTTCCAAAAAAGCTGAACCCAAACAGGTCCACACCAAGACACATCATAGTTAAAATGGCAAAGTAAAGGCAAAGACAGAATCCTAAAAGCAGCAAGAGAAAGATAGCAGGTTACATACAAAGGAACGTCTATAAGACTGACAGCTGACTTTTCTACAGCAACTCTGCAGGCCAGAAGGGAGTGGCAGGAAATATTCAAAGTAATGCAAAATAAAGGCCTACAACCAAGATCGTTCTACCTAGCAAGGCTATCACTTGAAGGAAATTGAAGGAGAGATAAAGAGCTTCCGAGAAAAGAATAAGCTTAAGGAATTTGTTACCACCAAGCCAGTATTACAAAAAATGTTAAAAAGGCTTTTTTAAACAGAAGAAAGGGGAAAACAAGCTAACCCAGGAAGATCAGAAATACAAATAACAAAATGGCAATCAATATGCACCTATCAATAGTCACTTTAAATGTGATGGATTAAATGCTCCAATCAGGGCCGGCCGAGTGGCGCAACGGTTAAGAACTGGCTTGGAATGCCAGAGGGCCCCGGTTCGGATCCCACATACGAGGGCCAGTAACACTGCCCTCCACAGCTAAGATGCTGAACAACAGCTCAACCTAGAGCTGGGCTGCCATGAGTCCCCGGCGATGGCGTAGGCTGCAGCCCCTGTGGCAGTGGGT